AGCAGTCTGCAGTGCAGCCTAGATTTATGTGACCTCCAATATCAAAGTCCCAGGACCATGCCATTTCCAAACCAGTGAAGAAAAACAATAATCTAAGACCCCCCGTTCCCTTTCCCTTTGACGACCCCTGCCCCACTTGTAAAAACAAAAGAGACATTTATTAATACAAAGCTGAGTAGCAGGACCTTTCTTGGAGAGGTTAGACGTGGCCCCCTTGTGCACAAATATAGCATCAAGGAGACCAGAATGCAGGAAATACCACATTAACACAGAAGTGGGGCTAAAAAAACAGTTTAGGAGCTGAACTATGACCCCTTGAGAGAGAGTGAAACGAAGTGTTTTTTGACCAGTATTATGTAAGGCCTCACCAACCCCTTTACCATTTTGTGGTAGAGTAAATAACTGATTATTAAAAACTGGATATAGAAATATCAGCATTAAATTGTAATAAATTCCTTCATGATCACTGTTATTAGCAGTGTTATCTCTAACACTGTCAACCATGTTACCTCAGACTCTTACTTTTCTGAAGACATAGTTATATCCTCAGCATACATTAAATTGTATTCATTTAGCTTAAGTGACACAATGTACATTATTAATGCTTAAAGACTTGAAATGAATAAAACCTGCTCTGTTTGTGCTTTTGGGTCTTTCAGAAGAATAACTGCTATGTTCCATGGTGCATGGTGCAGTTTCTTCAACTATGGGCAGTTTTGTATGAATCAACAAAAGTCAGATCCACAAATGATTTTTTTTTTTTCATTATGAATCAGCCTATTGCATTTGGAAATGCGTAGTGTAAATTATTTTTAAAACAAAATGGCCTGATGCATTTGTCATGCTATGGTTATACAGCATTTTGTATCCAAATACATGTATCCACATACACACAATAACATATTCGGTAACACCTTATTTTAAGGTGTCCTTGTTACACGTTACATGTACTTACTATTATAATAACAATTAATTATGCATAATTGCATGCAAGTAACCCTAAGCCAAACACAAATCATAACCCTAGCCATATAGTAAGTACATGTAGTTAATTAATATTACTCAGTACTTATATGTATAATTATACTGTAACAAAGGACACCTTAAAATAAAGTGTAACCACATATTCACCCATTCTAGTACAGATTGTTTGGAAATTACGCAACAATACTACTAATACTAACAATACTCAGTTAAAAATTATATTTACATACTATGTTATTTAACATTACATGCTATTTAAAGGCTGAAATATGGGTCTGACACAGAGGCAAAACAATAAAATTGACCCATACAGCACTTGAAAAGTAACAATAAATAAATAATAAAATAACGATCCACTTGTACTTACCTCTAAGGAGTCGCCGTGTCTGGATCTCTCGTGATGCCTCACAGGGAAGCTGATCGCGCGCTCTATCCAGACAGCCAGCAGCACAGCTAAACGTACCCATAAACTTTTACGCACTGCGAGCATTTTGCACAGTTGCGTATCTGTCCGCTAAATACCGCTAAAATATGAAATGCGCAATAGTTGTTCAGGAAGCCCTGTGTATTTTCCTCCTGGCGAAGATCTTTAATACGCTGTTCTACATCTTCATCCAAACTTCATTAAAACTCGCACAGGTACGAACATTTTTATAAATTCAGACAGATAATCCTCACCTGTTCATTCCATTCACAAATACACTAAATGCGACTTGAAACGTCTTGCTTCACTGAGTCTGTCTATGTGGACTGATCGTCTCTCAGTTGAAGTACTGCAGGTCTCACTCACGCGCTGCTCTTCAGTCCGCACCAGTGCATCCTTATTCAACTATTACTAAACTTTCGCTTCTCTTCTTCTGTTAGATGGCACTGAATCATTACTGACACGTTACTATTGAAATGGGAGTATCTCAGATACCATAAGGAAGCGAAAGATATGTGCACTTGAGCTGTAGAGCTGTGTGCGCAGCAGTGATACAACAGCAGGGTGGTCTGATCTCTAATGGTCAGCATGGGAGGAGAATCATTTATCAGAGCCAATGATGCTCATGCATCTGACAGGTGTGTGCGAGGATTCGTTTCCGCTTAGGTGAGAGGGTTTGTGCCATTCAGAACTCAATTCACTTTCAGTTGTTTTAATTCCAATTCATTTCCTCCTAAGTTTGAACTGAACTTCAATCAAGTTAGCAAAGAGGATGTTAGATGGATAAATCATATTTGAATTTAAGAAAGTATAGAATTTGAATGAACTTTTTTTCCAAGTACATTTTTAAATAATTCACCTCATGGTCCAGTATAAATCAGCCATAAATACGTGACATATTTATTATGTTACATATTTATGGCCAAATTATAAAGAATATATATCACCCTGAGAATAGTGTTTTTTCATTTTCTATATACAATTTTTTTTTTAAATCAGTGAAATCATCAGACGCAAAGCCATTTGTTAGAAAAGAGTACATTTGTTTTCTATAGTGCATAGGGATATGCCGGTATCAAATTTTCATGTTGCGATTAATTGATAATTTTATCACGGTATGCGGAATTATCACGATATTGAAATTTAGTTAAAAAAGTGCTGTCATAATACAGTATAACAGGTTTAATAACATTTTTCTTATAACAAAAATAACTGAACATTTAAATGCAATAAAGCAATACAGAAAAATGTATAAAGTTAAAAGTTTTAAACAGATTAAAGTGCAAAAGAACTATAAAGACCAATAGGTATCACTTTACAATAAGACCTCATTAGTTAAACTTAGTTAATGCATTAACATTCACAATAAGCAATAGCTACATTTGCTACAGAAGTTATTAATCTTAGTTAAAAAATACAAGTCTTAGTTCATGTTAGCTCATTAAATAACACAGATTTTAACAACCTGTTATTAAATATTAGAATACCTAAGATTAATGAATGTTCAGAAGAATTTTTCATTGGCAGTTTATGTTAACTAATGAATTAACTAATGTTAACTAATGAAGCCCTAATGTAAAGTGTGACCGAACAATAAAGAATCAAAACACTTTCAAACAATATCTAGGGCATGTTGTAGTCCAGATTAAAATGTAAAAAAAGATTGAAAATAAATAGCCTATTAAGTCTAAATATGTAAGTATTTGGCGCTGTGATGAACATCATAGCAAATACACAAATCTGAATGGCTATTTAAACATGATTCAGAAACAGAAAGTAGTGCAGCTGCTTTGTTTACAGGGTTTCCGGGGTAACGGCTGCATTTAAATGAATTATTATTATTATTATTTCTGCAGTTTAGCGCCATCTGCTGTCAGAGAGTGAAAGTGCGCTTTCATCCAGAGCGTCTCTCACATGTTCCGCCATGTGCTTCTCGTCCGCACTTGTTTACATCAGAGTGCGCACGCGTCTTTCACGCAGCATACAGCGGTGTTGTGCATTTTGACCAGTTGATGGGAAAAGTATTCTTAAAATGCATTCAAAATTCGGAATAATTTGTAATATATAATTATTCACGGTATTTAGAAGTGCCCACGATAACAATATCGTGCATATTCATTACCGTGATATATCGCATTACCGAATACCGGCACAAGTCTACATATGAAACATTCAGGCCGTTTTCTAGCTGTTCTAGTTTCATCCTTCATATTCTTCACACATTGTAAAAAATTATATATTAAAGGGTTAGTTCACCCTAAAATGAAAATTCTGTCATTAATTACTCACCCTCCTGTCGTGACTCATGTCAAACCCGTAAGACCTACGTTCATCTTCTGAACACAAATTAAGATATTCTTGATGAAATCCGAGAGCTTTCTGACCCTCCCATAGACGGCAACTCAACTGAAATGTTCCCAGGGTACATTATCAGCGCAGCGGCAGACGTTCAAACTAATATCACGCGTAATTTATGTCTCTTTGATGATTGGTTGATATTAGAAGGAGGCTAGCCTTAATTTTATTAACATTAAATCGTCCTCCTCCCATTTTCACCTCAAAATGATGGGGAAGCTGTTGCCTCCCCTGCCTCCCCCGACGAGCCGCCACTGTCAACAATTCCTCTCTTCCTTGTCAGTAGGGATGGGCGATACCACTTATTTTGTTTTCGATACGATACCGATATTTTTCAAG